TCCCTAGGCTGTAGCAAAGTGATGAGAGGAACGGCTGAGGTCAGGTCATCATCCCCAGGGTATGAGGGCCAAGTGGACACCCTCTTTTTCACCGCAGCCGGAAAGAAAAATAAAGAGAGCGACTCTTTCCACTTCGCACTTAATTCAGCAGGACGTCGTTATCTTTGCCCACTTGATTTAACGTCGGCGGCAAAGGTGGCCAAACTATGAGCGTTCTCGGAAATGAGAAAGAAAGTCTTTCCCGGTGCTTCTATTCCGGAGATGAGAGCTCAATCAATATTTTTTGCTTTTCCAGTGCGTGCCTCTGTTTGTTCTTCTCTATCTTTCTGTATATTAACACTATATTGCTTTGCACGTAAGACAAATACGTATATAATACGCAATCGCCAATATCAGAGCACTAAACCCAAAGTATCGATTTCCATTTTTACCGAGAAGAGGAGTCTGTGTACGATACGCTGGATTAAGGGTGTAAAATTCTCAATCGATTTCTAAGCTGCAAGGAAATTGAAGCTAAATAAGGTACCGTACAAAATTCCATCTTAAATTTTGCTATCTAGCTAATTACTAATTATTAACTTTTATAACTTCCTTGCTCCTTGCATAAAAATAGTATGAGGGCGCTGAGGGCGATAAAAAAGCCTGACCTGACCAAAGCCAAAATTTAAATTTGTCACCGTACAAATGCTATCTTGACCGCCCAGCTAACTTACAATAGTTCAAAAGCTTTATTGTTAGTTACTGAGGAAAAAACAGCTTCAAAGTTATAAGAAATCTTAGTTTTCATCAAAAAGAGCATTAATATGTCGTTACTACAAAAATTTGAAATTCATATTATTTTGTTGTTGTCACCGCCATTCCTCTGCAACCCTCAGCGAACAACAAAAAGTGAAGAGGATCTTCCTCCTGTCCAAAGCTTGCACTCATTTCACCTCTTTGTGCTGCGACAAAATTATGACAAATAATTATTCCGCTGCGTCATTTGCGTCGGAAATTATTATAAAGATGCTCACAGCAACTCTCGTCGCCGCCGACTTGTCTCTGAAGCACAATCGCGGTGGTTCCTCTGAAACCACCGGGGTCTTTTTACAGCCCCTTTCATTCCATAAATGTGCAAATAATTATTTTCGTGGCCGCTCGCGCCAGTTGTTGTGCGGGCGTTTCTCTCGCAAAGGAAAATGGAAATAATAATTCCAGCTCATTTCAAAACCGCAAGCACCAGGACTTTTTATGGGAGCTCCAGCAGTGAAATGCCGCGTGCGTTCATTGCCGCCCGCCGCCTTCTGTGTGTAATTTGCAAGTCATTAAAATACAAATGCACAAAGGCGTAATAATTAGAGCCAAGTTTCAGCGCGAATAAATTAAAATCCCCGTCCAATTACAATGTAAATTCGTGCAAATATTTCCGAATTGTTGTCGGCGCGACGAAAACAAAAGCCACAAAAGCCCTCCCCGTTGGACCATCAGGCAGAGCGTCGCATGCGAATCTGCAATTCTATTGGCACTTCGCCGAGTTGCTTCCTCTCCGGCCCGACCGAAAACTTTTTAGATTTCCAAGTTCTCTAGGCAATTAACAAGAATTAATCAAATATGATGCCGTTATGAAAATTCAAGACTGAATTCAACTTTTGTTTTGAATTTTAATTCTTACAACGCAGCCTAAATATGAACACATACAAAATGAATATTCATAAACGGCACCTTATTTGATCTCTTCCTATTATGGAATTAGCCGACGATCCCTTACCTAACTGATTTGTATGCAGTGTAGTTCGGGGGAAATTAAAAAAGGCCCGGGCCTTCCCTCGGGGAATGAAGGAAGTGGTCAACCAACCGGTCACTCTCTTCCTTTACTTTAATGTAGGTTTCCCAAAGGGCACCGGAAAAGTAAGCCGAAAGCAAGGTGGGCTCGACCAAAAGTGTTCGCCATCTATTGCGGCCTAGATTGGTTCCTCTTTGATTCTCAGCGGATAACAAAAGGGTCGGCCATCGTGTTTAAGTTTTAAATCTTCACTTGCGGCGGTCTCGTCGCAATCCAATAAATTGCGAGCTTGAGAAAAACGAAACAACGCTGCTGGAAAAACGCGCCCGACCCATGATTTGGAGAGAGACCATAATGAAATACGAGATGGAGGGAAGAGCGCTTTATTTTATTATGCAAATGCTCGGGGCTGAGCAGCTATACATGGAAGGACTGATATGGAGCACGATTTTTGCTTCTGCTTACTGAAAATGTGATTCATAAATAAATAAATAGGCATTATGCAGCGCGCTCCTCCGAAAAAACATCCCTCTCTTCTTGATGAGAAATCGGAAAAGTTTTTGCCCTCTCGTTCAAGCGGTCAAACATTTTTCTGCGCAGCAACGGAAAAAACTCGGAGACACGATCTGTGCTTTTAAATTTTCTTTACAAATTTCGTCATGCGACATACATTTTGAATTGCTGCTCAGGTTCAGAGGCTTGGACGATTTACAATTGCCGGCGCGCCTATTATTTTCGGGCAGAGAAAAGGCGCGGCGCCGAGCACTCTCATTTTCAACTTTATGGCCGTTTAACTGACTCGCAAACAATAAAGAAAAATGTAGCGAGTGAGATGGAGTGATAAGCATGGAGCAACTTCATTTTATGGCCCGCGCTGATATTGTCCTTGGGTAATCATCAACTCTCCGGCATGTATGCAAATGAGAGGGGAATGTGCGTTTACCGCTTTTGCAGATGAATATGGCGTGAACGGAAACTGAGATATGGGAAAAAAGCTCTCGTTTTCAATGTGTTGAGATTATTACTTCGATTCAAATACAAGAAAATTTTATGGAAAGGAAATCGTTTAAAATAAATTGAGGAAGAATTTGAAATGGTTATAATTTGTTTAATAAATAAAATTTTTAAACAGTGCTGATTCCTCCACATTGATTACCATAATGTTTACATTGAATTGATTCGATTTATTGAAAAAAGTATCTGCTTGAAGAACGATTGGGAAGATATTGTTGGAAAAAACTGCAAGAGCCTTAATTTTAATTGGAAAATGTCCAAAAGCGTTTTGTTGAACTTTTTAGAAGTCTCAAATTTTAAAATCTAAATTATAATAATCGAAATGGAATTAAATGTTTTTATTTTTTTAGATATAAAAACTGACGGCCGTCATTCTGTGTGCACGTCAGTCACTCAGCTAACCTCTTCACACTATCGCACACAGCGGTCAAAAGCAAAAATGAAAAAAGGAAAAGTTGGTCGAGCGCGAAGCACTGTCCAGACCGTCACTCAGAATTAAATTGGAACTAAAGAGAGTCATAATTCTCGCTCAATTGCCACTTTTTGCGAGCTCACTCGGCTCTCTCTAGCCATTAGGTTATAAAATAAAACTGCGACAGCCGCATTAGCTGTGGTGTTATTGCCCTGCGGCCACATAAAATCTCGTCAACAGTAATAAGGGAACCCTGTCAGATGACCCTATTTACGAGGCTAAATGATTGAGTGCCGCTGAAACTTAATTATTTTGGTCGACCTTTATATATTGCATTCGACAGGCATTTCGAGCAACAAAGCTTAAAAATATATCGTCTTATTTAATTTTTTTAGCCAAACCAAAATAATTGAGTTTTTAATATTCAATGAGCTCAAACAAATAAGATTAAAAACGCTTTAATTATCTTAATAATTAAGCTCAACATACATTGATTTGATGTCGCTTACTTAAAAAATTGACAAAACATCATAAAACGCGCATCAGGAAACTCTCATTTGTCCAGAAATTACAAAAGAGAAATGACTCGTCCATTTAGTATATTTGCATCGTTTCATCATTTGCTTTGTTCAGTGCTAAAAAGCAGAAAATTTGGAACCCACAGCATCCTTCAATGCTCTTTTGTACACTTGCTTTTTTAGCACAATGAAGCAGGGACAGAAAAAACTGCCAACATTCATCAATCTCGCGAGAAAAACTGACTCAAAAGACGAAATGCTGATGGCTGGAGCGTTTGCTTTTCTTTCATTGCTGCGCATAGAATGGTAGCAGTGGAAGGCACAAAAGTACATAAAAAGCAAAACGAACGTGACTGCTTCTGATATTGTCTGAGCACTTTATTCAGCTAAAAATTGAGTGATCCGTCCAAAGAATGGCGTAAGGCGTAATATTGCAAAATTCAGCCACAGGCTGCTGGTAAAGCTGTTCTTATATACTTCGCCTCTATACACAAAGCATGAGTTATGATTGCAGGAAGTAGGCCCTAGTTTTTTTATATGAAGCGGGAAAACGCGTGTCGCAAAGGTCCGTTTTATTGCTCCCTTTGTTCGCTATGTTTTGCAATGCATTTAAGCTTCAATAAAGTGTGAAGCAATAATACTAGACTGGAAAGAAAAAAAAATTCTCCCTCAAAATCGTTTTCTTCGTAAAAACCCTCCCACGCTTTCTGCGGCACTGCACAATTGTAATCCTATTACATTCATTCAACTTTTACAAGGCCAAAGCAAGGAAAAAATCTTCACGACTAATCGAGCGTGTCTTCTTCCACTTTGCCCACGATAAATGCACTCATACCATACTTACATATTGCAGTAAACTCAAGCTCACTGAAAAGGAAGCAAAGCAATCGGAACAGCGCTGGCAACCTGCATCGCTTCATTGGCACGCGGGTTGCGTTCTTGCTTGCCACAGGCGCTGAAGTAGTGACTTCATTGGTTCAAAAAATAGTATAGATCAAGAAACGTTGTCAATATTAGGTTGATGTATCGCCCTTGTTAGGTGTGCAACCTCTGAATCAGATATAATTTAATTATCAAGCATCAAATCAGATTTATTTTGCTCATTGCTCAATTAAAATGTGTAAGCGCGAATAAGTCGAAGAGCACCGGCAGTAAATTCCTTTTTAGAAATTGGCTGGACTTCTGATATTTAATAAAAGCATATATATATTCTTTAAAAAGAAAAATATTTTTCATAAAAAAAAAACTCAATGCAAGATGAATTTTCTATGTGCAGATTGGAAAAAAATTAATATTTATTCGCATGGTATTGCACAAAGATTTATTGATTTATGTTCCAATCATTCCAATAAATAATATTGCTTATTATTAAGGAACATCGCAGTGCAGGCACCAGGTAGCACCGTCGATGCCAAAACGCAATTCAAAAATAAATTAACACTTTAGATTCTTCGGATACAAATAACAATTTGCACAACAATAAACTGAAGTGACAAATTGGAAAATGCAAAATAAAGTTGCAATACTTAACAATCAACAAAACATTCTTCTTTAATTAATCCAGGTTGTCGATTAGTGGTACCTGATGGGTCATGGGGGTCACACGAAAATGTTTTAAGCTTTCACTTCTTTCACAGAATTATGCATTATATTGACAGCATTGTGTTTCCGCCTGCGGAGCGATTGTTGTTCAGAAAGTCTCTACTGTCTGTGTGGCCGTTCGTGTATCTGGCTGGCAGAATTTGAGGCATATTGTTCGGCACAGTGTACTTGTCCTTCCAAATATTGTTGCCCGTCATCGGCAGTAAGGTTTCCTTCTTTGTGGTGTGGCGCATGTCGTACTTTGCCTAAAATTGTTATATTTTGCACATTAACACAAATGGTAAAAATTCAGGAAAGATAAAAGTTGCTTTATTTGTAAATAAAATGAAATTCTTAAGTAAATAAAAAATTACCTTGTTGTATGCAAGGACGCCCATGATGGCCATACTCATGCCAAAAATGTTGGTCTTAGTGACCGGATTTCCTAGGAAGAAGAGCGATATGGCAATTACGAACAACCTCTTTGAGGCGGATGCGACGGCGTAGGTCAGTGGAGTGACGAGAGAAAGCATGCTGAAGGCAAGGATGTTCTGTAGCCAGTTCAGACCGCCATCACAGAAAAGCAGCAGAAGCAATTTGTAATTGGAACCGCCAAATAAGTTCTGCAATAAGTAAAATAATACAATTAATTTAATCATGTCGACCAAGTGTTTATTTTTTTAACTCACCACGTTAGAGTCGTACAACAACTTCCAGAAATCTGAGCAAAACCAAACGGGGAGAAACATAAAGAGTGCGAGACGACCCAGCATGTGCAATAGTCGAAGGTGGTGAATTCCGGTGTCATTAAGAACCTGAAAAAATAATTTTTTGTCATATTAAAGGTTTTTCATTTAACGCACGACTTTTTTACTCTTTTCGAAAAGATGTTCATTAAAGAAAATCCCATCGTTGAAACTAGAGCACTGCCAAGGCCAATTATGTCAAATGACAGCTCTGTCAATGTGGCGACTGCAACCCCTAGAATGATGGGCACCAGTGATAAGTACACCTGAAAGCAATGAAAAAAAATTAGTTCAAGTTTTCCTTATCTCCACTTAAATTTGTTGAAAAATGCTAATTTGTTATCTCATTTTACTATATACCTTTGTTGTTTGCCGCTCTTTCATTATCAGTCTAGCCAAGATGACTGTGAACAAGGGCGCTGTAGCCTTAACTAAAAAGAGCAAAAGAATGTTAAAACTGGAAATTTGATATATCTGATGAGTGTTACCTGTGTGAGCATAAGAGACGGGAACTTTCCATATGCTTACGTGTGAGAAAACTGAAGAGAGAAATTTCCCCAAGGCTAAAGGCACAATTATCTTCATGTAGTACTTCCATTCTATGTCCACATACCTGTGGGCAATAAAAATAGGGCTATTTATACAAAATATATGATACTTGGAATTCGGAAGGTTTCATTAGTAAAAATTTATACTTAAATTCAAAGGAATTGGATTAAGGAATCAGTGGATTTTTATAAAAGTAAATTTAAATATTTTAAATTTCTAATATAATAATTAAATTGTGCAAAATAAAATATACACTAAAATTTTAGTAAATGACATCATTGATAAAAAAAGATATTTCTAATTATTGGAAAATTTAAATTCCATAATATTATGTACCTGCGGACTCCCCACATGTTGAAGAAGGGACCTGAGTACACAGTGATGGATAAAAGCTGAACCATGGTCACCGTCATTGGGTAGGGAAACTCGCTAAGTACCATTTTGCCGATGACATTGTTGCTCGAGCTGACCGTGTACCAGAGGAAACACAGCAGCAGCACTTTGAGCACTTCCCTGGTGTGCGTCGACATGATGTCCTCACTTCAAATTAAAATCCTAGAGTGCAAGAAGCAGAATCACAGAGGCCACATGAGCATCAGCTTGACGCGGTCCAGCCGCGGCAGTCATTCATGATTGTGACCTAAATAATTGACAAGCATATGATTGAAAATTGCTTAGATTTGCGAGCTTGTCGGCATACCTAGAGCTGAGCAGAGGGTTGTTGCGTTGAAGCGACGCTCTCCTGCTTGACCAGCGTCTAATTTTAGAGCCTAATTCGAGTATTAGGCAAGTTGGTTCCTCTGAGCCATTGCAGCATTGATTTTGCGGCTGCAGAAAGGATGATTTTGATACGTCAACAATAAACAGCTGAGTACGTCGAGTGCAGCAGGGTTGTATGGAAAGGAGCTGAAGAACTGGAGATACCAAATTGTTTAAACTACACTTTTGTACTAAAATTATAGTAATTCAAACTCAAATATAAATAATTTTCATAACAAGATATATAAAAATATATAATGATTCTTTTAAATATTTAAGAATTGTAATAAAATTTAGATTTTAAAATCTTTTATGCACAGCCCTGCTGAACAACACGCGGCACGTCAAACAACAAAAACGTCAAATGACGACAACAAAATAAAGAATTGATCATAAACAGAAACAAAGAGCGGCTCAACAAGGAACAAAATTATTTTTTACGGTATTATTTCAACACTCCTGAGATTTTATAAGATTTACAAATTTCTTGAAAAAATTATGAAAGTCGTTCTTATTGTTTTGAGAGAAGAATGTCAAAAAGAACAGAAAGTCAAAATCTGCAGCAAAGTAATGAAGCCCCATTGGAACCAAATAAGGCCCTCAGAAGCAATAGCACTCATCTTATTGCGCTAACACTGAACAGTGGCTTGCCAATATTTACAAGGAAAAGAGGAGATGGAGAGCAGGTGATAAAAAAATAATTATAAATTTAATAAAAATCTTTTGCTCTTATAATCGCTTTTTCCTAATTTTATTTTTCAGCTCTCATTTTCAACAATTGGCTCCCTCTATGGAATTTACACTTTTGGCAAGTCCACAAATACTATCCTTGAAAATACCAAAACTGTGGATGGGAAGGCTGTACTTTGGAAAGAGTTTGCTGATAGGTAAATTTGAAGTTGTTGTTGCTCGTGAAAATGTTTGAGATAAATTTAAGAACAGATAAATAATTCCAATATTTATAATTATATATTATATTAAATCTTATTTTTACATTTAAAATATTTTGCTGAAATTAGTTTGATTTCAATTTCTTTTCTAGTGTCCTTTTAATAATTTGTGCCGCAAATAAGAATGAGGAAGAAATGATTAAGGTCTTGGACGTCGTCTACAATGCCATGATTTTAAGAGTTGGTCTCACAGAGATTAAAGATCCAAAAAATTTGGAACGCCTCAAGCGAGAGTTGAAAGTAAGAAAAAATTGTCTCTATAAATTACCATTCAATAATAATTGTACACCTCTTCAGAACATTTACCCACTAATCGACCGCATCTTGGATTCCCTCAATGATGTTGATAAAGTGAACCACCCGACAGATATTACCGGCATGTTGGAATGTGCTCTGTATGAAGAAAATCAAGTGTTACAGGTTTTGTCGAATTTAAAAAACATTTTTTTTTTCATTTTTTTTAATTCTAAAATATTTAACAATTTAGGCCTACTTGGAGACTCATGTTGAAAACATGGCTTCAATGTACGGTTGTGTGTTGCTCCACGGAAGGATTGCTGTAGCGACCCTCAGTTGGTGGACATTAACACCAATTGAGAGACTGCTTTTGGCTTTTGTTACTCAATATGAGACACCTAGTGTTGCTCGAGATATACCAGTCTTCCTACCAGACAAAAGCCCTGAGGTTACAGAAATATTTTTGGAGTATATTTTAATAAAATTTGGAATTGCTGTAATGATAAAATAAAATGTTTCTATAAATTGACCTTTTATGTTCCCAGGTTCCCTATCGCTTAGTAATGAGCCAATTAATGCCTGGAGTCGAAATCTGCACATTATGCGGTCCCTCGCCAGCAATTACGGAAGTTGAAGCGATTGTAAATTTTACTTGGAAAAATTGCTCAGAAGTTTTAAAAGGCGTGGTCGACTTCAAAAGTCTGCCGGACAACCTGGTGCTGGATAGCAATGTCATGGGTTTGCTGTTGGTGAACAAGGAGTATGAAAAGTACCTCTTGTGTAATGAGCCCAACACAGAGGCTGGGTCTAAAAGTAACGGACCGCCTAGTGTGCACCGGACAAACATTCTCAAGACGTTTTATAAAACCATGTCACCAATGCTATCAACTGGTGTCCAAAAATACATCGATGCAGATGCTCAAGCAGGTTGGATCTCAAATTATAATAAACATTTTAATTTAATAAATAATTTTTGCAGGTAAATCTGAAAATGAAAGTGTGATACGAGAACCAGTGGAAGCATTTTGGAGCTCCGAATTTTACAAATGCCATGCTGTTACGTTAGGATCGAACCAACTCTACGCTCTCTTTCCATCAATGATCCCAAGACATTTAACAGGGTAATTAAAATTGATTTAAAATTTTTTTCAAATAAGATTTTTTTAAGCAATAACAGAAAAATTGATTTTACTTTTAAAATTTTGTTAATGTAGATGATCATTAAATTACTTGTTTCAGTGTCATCACCAGACAAACAATACAGACTTTGCTCTCAGAAAAGATGTTCATTTGGTGATATCGATATGGTTACTTAACATGGACTGCAACTTAATGTTTAGTTTTTCAAATGTACAAGGTGCTGGATGAACAGGAATAAAATTTAAAATTTTCCATTTTCGAGTTTATTTGGCCTTAACAAATTATTATGCTTCAACCTCAACCACAGTGGTCTTCTCAGACACGTACAGTCCGTCAAGGAATTTACGAATGTCCTTGTTCTTGACAGTGGTGGACTGTTGGATGAGGGCAGCTGTGGAAAAATATAGAAAAAAATTAGTTTTTAGAAAATCTCATTGATAGACACATAAAAACTGATAATGTAATATTATTATTTTATTTAATTCTAATCAACAAAATATACTTTTCATTCCATGATTCGGAAATAATATATAATATAATAATTTGTCGCTGTCATGGAATATTGTCCGATCATCCCTTCTGCTTTGCTTCTTCATAAGAACTGCGTTATTGTTTTCGGACGTGAGATATTATTTTAAATTAGCAGACAAATTCCAAGATCGAGGGTTGCTTGAGTTCAATCACTATGTTTTGATTCTCTTAATTGTCACGGGCAAAAATTAATAGAAAACATAACAATTTAGCTTCCAATACCCAACTTTTAAGTTAATAAAGACTAAAGAGTTAATAATAGTAATAATTGAAATTGAGGCAGACAAAAATCAAGATAAAATTTCTATTCCATGATTTTTTAGCAAATAATAAATAGATAAGTCGCCAAAATTAATCAATTTAATTTAGAAACTAAATCAAACTAATTTTGAATGAAGTGTCAATGTTTCATGAACCAAATTTAATTATATCTATCCATATAAGTTTATATTAATTAAATCAAAATAAATTATAAAATATTTAATCAAATGTAAATTAAATTGGAATAAGTGGAAATTAAAATTAAAAAAGTTTTAATAAATTTTATGAATGTAAGCTAAATTAAATAAGTTTACATTGAATACACATTAAACTGAAACTATTATTGAAATAGATTTGTAATAAATTGACTTGATAATAAATTTAATTGCATTGCAAACAAAATTATTTCATAAATAAAACATTTATGCTTATTATGAACCCAAAACCCACCGAGACCGTTCTCACGTCCGACAAGGGACATGAGTGGACTTAGTGGAGCACCAACCAGAGATCAGACTATTTGGCAGCGACAGTACATAGTATATTGATAAATTATAATTATTTGAATCTCATGAAGCAGTGTGCAGAAAAAACAAGGGGATAACTGGTGTCGATTGAACTCCTCACTGAACTTAAGCCGTTATTATAAAAATTAGTGGTAAAGCTCGGACGTAACTGGCAAAATTTCCACCCTAAGACACAACGAAGCTATAGAATATTACCGGATCTCGAAACATCCTCGATGCTGTTTCCTTCGAGGACCAGCTCATCCTTCTGCTTGGTCGAGTTTACAACAGTCACGCCAGGGGCCATCTTCACTTTCCTGATGTACTTTTCGCCCAAGAAATTGCGCACTTCAATGCAGGTGTTGCTCTCGGTGGTGACGCAGTTGATTGGGAAATGGGCGTACACAGCTCTCATTCTGTATTGGAATCCCTGGAAGACAAGATTGTTTGTTTAATTCTCCTCGTATGTAGTCAAGCAACTAATTACCAGGGTAACACCTTTAAGCATATTTTCAATGTGAGAACAAACTGTTCTCACAGCGGCGATTTCCTTCTTGGTTCCAAACCACTTCTCAACCTTCAAAAGGCGGGGATTGACCATCTGAAATGAGCAACAGTCACATTAATTTAAATTTAACTTGATCAATGTTACGAGCTTTACAGTGAACATTACTTTTGTTTACACTTGGAATAGTGTTTTTTTTTTAAATTTAAAACAATGAAAGTGCAGTTGTAAATTTACAGCTGAACATAATAATTGTATTTGAAAGTAATACTCACGTAAATATCAAGAGCCAAATGCTTGAATGTCCTCTTCAGAGTGCCTCTGGGCCCCTTGACCGTGATCACTCGGCTCTTGACGGAACATGTCAGTTCCTTGGGAATTTTCACAGTCTGCTGAGTGTTAATTTGCTTCATCCTGAAAATAACCTCAAATTAATTTCTCTTTGTTTTAATTCAGAACTAAAACATGGAAACAAAATCGAATGGACCCATGCTTTACGCACGATCCTAACGTGTCACCCGGCACAGTAAACAAACGTCCAGGGCGCGAATAATAACGAAATCCGTAAACTACTTGCAGAATTAAATAGATGAAACTTAATATTATCGATCGGACAAAACGGATTCGTGAAAATTATTTAGGAAAAGCGGATGATTGGCGATGAAAATTACAAATATTCTTTACCTTACGACGAGACAACAACTCGGGGGATAAGAAACATGCAAAAACAAACGACGAGCGGCAAGCGCTGACGTGACTGGCGCGGGAATTGACACGGGCGCTCGCTAGAGGGGGACGGCGTTGCATGCTAGCATGATCGATGAAAATTAGCGCCAAGGAAGCATGAATGTGGTATAATGTGGGCAGTCGAGAGAGAAGAGGCAGTTTTTGCAAAAAAAAATTATAAAAAGGTTTTTAATGATGCTAGGATTAAACTTTGCAATGACATCCTTTTCATATTTTGATAGGAAAAAGAAATGCTAAAAGTTTAAATATGCGTGTCTTTCTAAATTGAAATAAAATATTGAATTTGTCATTTGTCCATGTTATAATAAAAATCATAAATATTAGAAAACTTATAAAAAACATTAAATGAAAAAGTTTTTAATAACAATTGTTTTTGAATCGATATGTACCTGTACGGTGTGTTTACCCATGATTCCCCTTTGCTTGAGCAGGCTTATGGTAAGCAGAGTGCGCCAAATGAGCTCATTAGCGTAAATAATCAATTTACTCTAGCCGTCTTCGCGCATCTGACTCTTGGCGCTTCTAGACACGGATTTTCCGCATCTTTATTTAGTATTCAAGGAAACGGAGAAGCGCTGCACGCACAAGTCCATTCCTCCGGTGTTTTCTTTATTTTGTGCAGAGGAGATGCGGAATTTCAACAACAAAATGATCAGCAAGACAACACCAAAATTATTACCGTGTGGGCAGACAAAAATCAATCCGCAACATCATACACAAGAGCAAGATAAAGTCTTTAATGATGCAAAGGTAAAAATTTAAAGTATTAAATTTTAAGTAAATCAAAGTATAAGATTTGCAAAAAGAAAATTAATTAAGTGACTATGATTTTAAAATATTTTTGAAACAATGTCAAGTGACTGTTCAAAATAATTTGAAAATTAATTCTTGAAGGAACACTCAACATCCCAATCAGTGTCGCTCTCCTTACAGCAAAGAGGTTTAATGATGTTCCAAGAAGGCCAGCTTACAGATTGCGAGTTCCAGTTAAATGAAGACGACAGTTTTGATGAGTCGGAATACACAGTTAGTTGGAGAAATTCAAATTTACATACATTATTTGAAAATTTGATGTAACATACATTACCATTTCAGAATATTAGAGCTCACAAAGTGATTCTGGTTTACGCAAGCGACGTTTTCCGATCGATGTTTCTTGGGCAATTTCCAAATGAAGACGTCGTGGTCATAAAAGATGTCAAGCCGAAGATTTTTAAGCACTTGCTAAGGTATACTAAAAATAGAGCCTTTGATCCACCTTTTTTTTATTAAAAAATATAAATATCACTTCTTGCAGATTTTCATACACTTCAGATATTGCGGAAGAGGAGATTAGCTTTGAAGAACTGCTTGAGTTGGCAGTCAGCGCTAACAAATACCTCATGCTGAATCTCCAGAAAATTTGCATTGATCTTGCTAGGAAAAAACTCACTCCGATCAAAGTTTTCGCCGCCGAGTATGTTGCTGAATTGCTAGACGAAAAAAAGCTCCTCGAAGATTGCTTGAGGGTACTACATATATTTTATAGCAAATTTCGTGGAAATCTAAGAGAGATTTGTTTGCAAGGTGATCAAAACTTCTGCTGCATCTGCACTGCTGAGCAAATGTTTTCTCGGCATTACAAAACCGCGTCTGCTCACTCTTCTCGACAGCGAAAAATTGAATATTTCCTCGGAAATGACCCTCATCAATGCGTGCATGCGCTGGGCTCAATGCAATCACCCGTAATTAGCTCAAAAATAAATTATGAATATGAGCATGAGTATTTTATTAATTTTTTTGCAGTGATGGGGTCAACGCGGTCATGCGATCTTTCCTGCCAAAACTACGCCTTCTATCTCTAACTTCGCATGAGTTTTCGGCAAACATTGAAACTTTTTCTTGGCTGACAGACTCGGAGAAGGTTGCTGTTTTTGTTAATATCACATCAAAACGGGACGCAAAAATTGAGATTCCTTCAGAGTTTTGCAAGGAAGAAAACAAACGTAACATTTAATTTATACCACTTAAAATTATATTAATAAATATTAATAAAATAATATTAATAAAATTTTAAAAAATGAATTCAATATCTTGTAATCTAATAATCTATTTCATAAGATTATTGAATTAAAGCAAAAAAAGTTAATAATAAACTTGATCAGGAGAGGCATACTAAAGGCACAGAAAAGTTATTTTAATATTGAAAATTGCTCCAATATAACAAAAGTTGTGTCGTGTTTAAATTTCTCTGCTCACAGGTTCGCGGTTTTTGCGTTATTACGATGAAGTCAACAAAAAGCAAAATAATTCACGTCAGAGAGTGGTATGGGAAAAAGACCATCTGTTTCTCGCAAGAACACGGGGAAATTGTGCGATAGCGCGCTGCTATCTCAACTCTCTGCAATAATTTTCTAACTCTTTTGTATTCATCCCTTAATTACGTTGCCAGAAGCCCATTACCCTAATGAAGGAACAGCAGTGCTCTGAATGAATGCTCCAGAATGCTCTATGTTGTTAAACACACCAGACCACATAATTTGCAAACAGCCGCTTTTTTCAAAAATGGATCAATTTAATTGATATGAAACTCAAATTGATTTGAATAGCTGAAAGCCAAAACTAAAATTTGTACATAATAAGCTAAACAAGTGAAAGCCTTTTAGTAAATTTTTTATGTTATTCAGGTAAATTTTTTTTATTTAAAGTATCAGAAGATTATATTTGATCAATGATTAGATTTATCACAGTTAATTCAAAATATTTATTGATGAAATTTGCATTTTTTTCCCTTTTAGATTAATTTATAAGTTTTTTCCTGTTTAGCTTCACGTTGATTAAAAACAGCTAGCAGGGTGGCCATAAAAGTGATTTGGTTTTTGTGAGTTTGAAGAGCTCTCCGCTCTCCTTCTTTTCTAGTCGGTCCTTTTATTGTTTTGTGTTGTTGAGACCAAAAGGCTGATCCGGTTCGTCGCTGCTGCCTCAGTCAGTCGGCAGCACCCACACTTAAATTCGGAGAGCAACAGCCACAATAAATACACTGCCACCAGACAAGGAAAAGGCGGAGACTAACCAAATTGAAAAGCAAAAGCCGATCTTTAGGAAAAAGCAGTTTCTAGCTGTGCGTGTGCCTTCTGTTTTTCGGTGCGTGCTCCAAAAACCAAATCTCACTGCAGCGTGCAAATTGATCTTTTCTGCTCATCTCTATGTTTTTTTTTGCTGCGCTCTTTTATCATTTCACCTTGCACCTGCACGCAATTTAATCACAGTCTTGGCAATTTTTTTTTAATTTTTTTTATTCATCAAATCAAAAAATTTCACTGCTGCAAGTTTTTATAAGTTGTATTTAATTGAAGTAGAAAAGCTGCACGACAGGACTAACAAGACGTGCTTAATTGGGTCTGTGCTACCTCTGCCCACCCAGCCACAGTGCATTCGTTTTAATCAATTTAGGTGGCCCGGACAAGTTTTGATGTCGTGTTTGCTGGCGCTGGGTGCGAGTGTCGCAAGTGGTGCTGAAAGGTCCGTCGGATAGAAATTTCATGTCAGGATTAATTTTGCTTTTTGAACATAGCAAACACTCGACAGGAAAGAAAATTAATGGGCAAATATATCATGAAAAGTCAATCATCAATTAATTGATAGTGGCTTGTGGCTTTATACTACAAATAAAAATATGAAATTTATAATGTAATAATTTTACAACTCCAGAATTTATGAAATTTTTTACAATTGGAAACGTTAAATAAACTTGTTTTACAATTTTTTTTCTTCTTAAATACAATGAGGAATTTTTTTTAATATAATTGATGATTTTTCAAAATTTTTGTTTTTTTTATGTTATTTTCAATTGTTTTTAATCTTACAATTTGTTCCTGATAATTTATGATAAATTTACTAAGAACCACCACCACCATGAACTTGTGAGTAATCACAAAGCTTATATATTCAAAGGTGAATCCACTGTAAACAGAATGACAAGCAATTTTCCCACTGCAGCCATTGCCATTAACCGATGCTCTGCGCAGTTTCACTGCATAAGTAATTTTCAACTAATCTAATAAAATCCGCATTTGCTTCTTTGATTGCGTCGCGTTTCTTGAGTGGCATTACTCTTTGGATTAATGTCGCGTGAATCTTGAGAGACCCATTACGAACACGAAGAGCTCGTAAGCTCCGCTAATTCTCTCATTGTGATGCATTAATGCTGCAATTAAACTACAAAACGAAAACTTTCGTTCGAATAAAATATTTTAAAATTAAGTTGGTTAAGGACAGATAGAAATGATTCAAGACTATAAGAGGTGTTTTGAAAAAAAAATTCTGTGGTGTTACAGATTTTTATATAGACTAGAGAAAAAAAATTGGTCGCTGAATTAAAACTTGTCTTGGTTGTACCAAAAGGTCACGCTGGAATTCCAGCAGCTCAAGTCATTTTGTTCCTTTGTGGCGCCAATTTCAGCAAACCACTATTTCTTTGTGTTGGAAAAGTCACGTCTGTTGGAGGAGCGAAACTTATTGGTTTTACTGCTATTTACATCTGGCAGAGTGTGAGAAAGAGAAGCAGGGATAAGAAAAGGGACTACAAAAGAAGTTTGCGAGTGATGTGTGTGGTGTATATCGCAACATTGGATGGGCTGCAGCCTTCAGACTTGGGTATATGTTGCTGATGCGGAATGTTAATTTCCGGTCTCCAGCGTGCTTTCTCCTTGGCTAGGAAGAAGGCGAAGATCTGAGAGCAGCAAAACCGCTGCCGTCAATTCATTCGCAGCGAAACAACCGCGGCAAAACGAGAAGAGATGCTGTGCTGCTTTCTGCGAGCACTTTTGCTCTTTTGATTTTGTTGACTTTCCATTAAGCGGGGCGTAATTCCCTCGTGGGATTAGTTGGGCAGCGATTGTCGGAGGTAATTTTCTCCGAGACTTCTTTTTCGCAGAAATAAGATTTCCAACAGGCCGTGGGCCGGGGGTCGACGACTTTTTTATATAAAAGTTTTTTGTTTTCTCCGAATAGCCTTTAATCTGCGCGTCCTCGCAGAACTAATCAACGGCGTCACTGAAATGAATGTAGATCTCGTTGGGTTCCGCATTTTAACTTTTGGCCCCAAGATCTCCCTGTTTTCACGCTATGTACGCACATTTCTATTTAAAGACCCACTGTTTTTTTTTTATATATATTTTAATAGACTTGCAAAAATAAACACAATTTACAACTGAAATCTTAAAAATTTCTTCATAATTTTGAGAAGTGCTGCCGATTTACGAAAAGGATCAGACACAATGGAGGGGTGTCTGCACTCAGCAACCACTTCGCAATCCATCAAGATCATCCTTGTCAGCAGTCAGGCTGAATTAATCACTTCTACATAAAACCAAGTATATAGTTGAGATGTATTTCAGAGCAACTTTAATCTTTGAGGCATGATGGAAAAAAGTTTGAAATTATTTGTTTTTAAATGACTTTTCAGATAAAGAAAAATCTTCAATCTTTATTCTAGTGGCAAAAAATTATTCTAAATTATTATAAACTAATTATTTTTGCAGCCTAACTTGTCGCAAAAAGTTTTGCTGTTAATGTCAGCCCGCAAGCCTTATCATCATAGCAGTTGAACACGAAAACAAAGTAGAAAGGGCGACAGCGCGCGCTCGGTGTGTTTTGCGAGCTTCGTTCACTCATTAAGAGCCGTGTCATCAATCTTGTCTGCTCCCCTGGCATTCACAGCGACATCTTTTGGTCTCTGCTACCTTGCCCGTGAGTTGATTAATGAGCGGTACGTCTGCGAAGCGGCGTCAGACAGACACCCCTTGCTGCCTACCTTCACAACCCTTTCTACCGCCCACTATGTATATACTCGCCTCTGTGCATTTGCTTCACCTCTCTCGGTGCTGCACGCCTGCCCACTGCATAATTGCATGGTCAGACTGTTATGTTCCCGCGACACTCTAATTATACCAAGAGCCTGCACGTTTTTGCTTTTATTTAAAAAATTCGCCTTGTATATAAATCAAGTTGGTTGTCTGTGAAAAATAGCTGTGGTGAAGAGAGAATAAATTTTTTTTTACAGTTCATTCAAAATTTAACTTAAATATCAGTTTCACATATGAGCTACTTTCATAGATTAATATTGAATTGAGTAATTTTTTTTTCAATTTTTCTGCACACTGAACCTTTTATCATGCCTGGGGAATTTTATGTTCGCCCGCCTAGCCTGCAATAAAGCACTTGCTATCGATTTGGTTCACTTTTTATGGGATGCAAAACAGCTGCACGGCCGAGTTGCATCTGTGCAGTTTTGAATTGCAATTTGTTACTCGCGTGGTTGTAGAACATGGCGCCTTACAAATGCAGCTTATTACGAGAGGCTCTTGTGAATAAAACAGCAATAAAAACGAAGCACAATAAAGCAGCAGATATATAAAATACATATTTTGCACGAGACCGTGTTTGCGCCGCTGCTTTTACTGTTCGCTGCATGGGCTGTACGAGAGAGTCCAATCAAAATAATTGGAGAAAATGCTGTACATCTCATAATATTTTCCATTTTTGCCGCTATTTTTGTTTATTCTACTGCTGCTAATTAACCTTGTTGAATCTATTTTCGTTACAATTAAAATTTTTAAATATGAATGAATTTTTTCATAACAATATTCCGTTGAAATAAATCCACCGAGCGTTTGATACATGGTCGGTTACGGCTCTCCCCATTATCTTTCCATCATTGTAGCCCAACAGGGCTGAATGTTTATACAGCCTAATTGATCCGACTGGGACAACCGGGTATTTGAGCAGTGAAATTTGTGTTTGTCAGGAATGATCTTCTGGGACGAGGGCCTGAGATTCGCTAAAAGTAGACTCCGAAAAGGCGGATTTTATAATGTAAACAAGCTCAATTTACATAATACGTTTTCTATTCAGGTAATATTACAACGACAAAAACTAAAAGTAAATAATAAAAAGAATTGAGAAATTGAAGAAGGTATCTTTTTTTATTATTAATATTTTTTCAGAAATCATGACCATCTGTCGGACTTTAAATGAAATTTGTGGTGACTTCTGTTCAGTGGAATTCAAATTGTTTAGGTTGTTGCATAATGTATTTTTGGCAAGGCCTGTGTTGTCGCCAACACAACTTTTGGTTTGCTGTGCACCCGGCCGATCTGCACCGCCATTCACTAGGAA